CCAAGATTTGGAAACAGTCCAAGTATCCATCAGCAGATGAGTGGATAAAACAGCTGTGGTACATTTATACAAAGAATACTACTTGTCCATAAAAAGGAAGAAAACTGTACCCTTTGCAACAGCATGGATGGACCTGGAGAATATTGCATTAAGTGAAATAAGCCAGTCAGACAAAGACAAGCACCATATGATTTCATTCATATGTGGAATTTAATGAACAAGCAAAATAAAGACAAACTCATAGATAGAGAGCAGGCAGACAGCTCTGGTGGGGGTGGGGTTGTTGGGGCGGTGGAGGGATTGAGCAAAAAAGAAAAACAAAAGAGAAAGAACTCGTGGGCATGGACAACAGCGTGGGGACTGCAGCTGGGGATGGGTGGAGCTGGAAGAGGGAATGGGAGGGATAAATGGTGATGAGAAAAAAAGAAAAGAGTCCCATTACCTTACCTTACTTTTGTGTATAGCACTTACCGCTGTCTAATATTTTAATATATATTTATTTGTATGCTTCTCTTTTTCTTTTTCTTTAATGTAAGTTCCATTGAGAGTAAGGACTTCATTTTATTTACTAGTGAGTCTCAGAAGCTGTTAAAATGGCTGGAATACATACATATGCAATAAAACATATTTGACTAAATGAATTATCGTTTGTCTTGCCCAGTGGAGGTTAATGTTGAAGGCCAGAATATACTCACCCTCCAGCAAAATATTGTGCTTTATGTATGGTTGACTTATAATAGAAAAATAATAAATTTCATTTAAGTGCTAGAAAAATCCTTGGAGTGTTCAAGAAGATAATAAGGCATTATATAGAACATATTTAGAGTTTTCACTCCCAAAATGTCACCCATGTAATTTGGGCATGCTATGTAACATAACGTAGTATTCAAAATTGTCCCCCAACCTTAGATAAAATGGTTTTCTAAAGGATGACCTGCTATACGCAAAACTGTATATATTATTGTTATTTTCAGTGTCTCTAACTGCAGCTCCTTCTTAGTGGGATTATCTGCATCTGGTCCCTGCTCACCCCCCAACAGTACTACCACCCCAAGACCTCAGAAAGGCTGTATAATGTCCCATGAGCCAACTTGGATTATCAGTTTTCATCTCTCTACTACCCTCTTTCCAGTTTCCATTTTGTATTAAGGATCTGATCAATTCCTTATTTTACCTTACTGTCTCTAAATTAAGAGATTACCTAGATAGGTACAAAGCTCCCTTTCATGTCTTACTCTGTAATTCCATATGATCCATCTCTCGGAAATTCTGATGAGTATACCACAAGGATATATACATTTTAAAATACTTTTTAACGTCTGTTTCTCAAAATCATTTTAACTTTAAAACAGAAGTCATTTGATTATAGATTAAAACATAGTTATGATCTGTTACTAAAAGTCAATGTTTATTGACCTGCTGACAATTTCTAATTATATAATTACTTATTATAGAAAAGTTAGATTAGAATCGATGTTACAACTGGGCTGACTCTTCTAGGAATTTTTGTCTAAATTATGATATAGCATCTTATGATCTAGTATTCTGAATTTCTCTTCCAAACTGAGATCTATTTATTATAGTAGATATTTCTTTTTTTCATACTACCACATTTATCTTGTCTGTTGTTAAGGCAGAAAGTGTTTTCTCTTACAGCTAGTATTACCTGCCAATTATAAAAAGCAACTACTGATAACATATTCTGTTTTCTTCTAGTCATACAATTATAAAAAACCAAGAATATTATTAAACTCATATATATATATATATGTATATCTATATAGCTAAATTCTATTTTCTTTAGCACAGATTTTACATTTTAAAACAATATCAATCACACTTTGTCTTTTTTGCATCTATTTTAACATTAAAATTGACATATTCCCACATCATCAGTCTATTTTTTAATGTTTTTTATTTTCTAACAGTTTCTTAGATTTTTTTAGTTATCTAATTCTGGGCAACAAAAGAATTCAAAGCTTACAGCTTAAAACAACAACTATTTTAATATATCTCATGATTCTGGGTGTTGGCTGGGCCCCGCCGGGCAGCTCTGATGACCTACATCATGTTGTCTGGGGCTGCAGTCATCTGGGAGCTCTTCTGGGTCGGAGAGTCTTAGGAGCGCACCCCATGGCTAGTCATTGATGCAGGTTGTCAGGACCGTGGGCTCTCCAAAGGTCTTGACTTTCTCACGGTGCGGAGGCTGGGTTCTGAGAGTGTCCCAGTAGTGAGCATGGCCAGGGAGAGGAAGCAAAAGCTGCTACTTACTCCTTTTAAAGGCTAGACCTACATTTGGCAGAGTTGCCTCCGCTGCATTCCTCGTGATAAGTGGTAACAAGACTTAAGGGGAAGCTAAACAAACCTCACACCTCAATGCGGAGAATGCGGAATTTGGTTCCATGTTTAATTCACCAGAGTAGTTATATAATTTCTCTTAAAATATGCACCATAATTTAGTCCAAGTTAAAAATAATCTCTGCTAAAAGCCACCAACGAAAGAAGAAAGGCCATTATATCTAAGGTGGAGGCACATCCGTGCAACTTTCCTTCAGTTTAGCTTGTTTGAAGTTCACTCAGCTTCTTGATGTGTAAATTTACGTCTTTTTCCAAATGTGGGAAGTTTTCGGCCGTTATATCTTCAAATACTTTTCTGCTTTATCTTCTTTCTACTCTCCTCTGGACTCCAATGACACAAATGTTAGCTCTTTTATTTTAGTTCTTTAGGCCCCTGGGTTTCTGTATTTTTGTTGTTCAGTTTATTAGTCTATTTCCTCTGAGTTGCTCAGATGGGGTAATTTCTATCATTTTACTTTCAAGCTCACTAGTTTTTACCTCTGTCCACTCTATTCCACTGTTGAGTCATCCACTGAGATTTTTGTTATATTTTTCCATCCTCCAATTTTTATTTGGTGTCTTCTGATTTCTGTTGAGCTTTTCTGTTTTTTCACGTTTTAAGCGTGTTCACAGTGCTCACTGGAGAATCAATACAGCAAAGAATCAAAATAACAAAGTCCAGAAACCACCTTCAGAGATTATGATTTAAATGGTCTCTGACAGACAGATCCTGGACAGCAGTATTTTTTTAGAAAGCTCCTGGGTAATTCTGGTTGACCAGCAGAGTAGAGAAAACACTGACTTATATGAAACTGCTGAGGATATTAACCAAATCTTTTTTTGTATGTTCCATGAATATAATTGTGGCAAATCTTTAAAATCATTGTTTAAAATACATTTTACAGATATAATTTGACGAAAGCATGTGTGTTGAAAAGTTGGACATTTATTGCAAAATAATTTTCTCCTTTAATGTGTTCTTTGGCTCAGAAATCTATTATGATTTTATCTTTTGGCAAACAATGATTTTACTTGAAAATTTTTTTATCTCTATTGGGAGTCATAATAGGCTTTCAATGTTTTTATGTACTTCCTGAAGGTAGTGGGAGATAATGACTGTTTTGAAAATTATTACTTGATATTTAATGTCACTATTTTAACATAGCTTGAAACTTATTTATCCCAATGTGTTTGAGGATACGCTCTTGTTAAAAGTAACCTCTGTGAGCTTTGCTATGTGGTTTTAGAATGAGCATTTGTCTAAGATTATTTTTTGAAATGAAGATTCTGATTAAGTCTCCATAAAATTCAGCATGATGATTTACTGAAATCAAAACAAACAATTGGTGAGGTTACGGCACTTTTTGAAACAAACTAACTGAATGAATTGATAGGTTATTTGAATTTGTCTAAAAGTAACCTATAGATTTAAGAAGAAGTTATTGGTGATGTATAGAAATGAGATTTATATCATATTCCAAATGGCAAGGGCTTGGATTACAGTTATTGTTTCCTTTTTATTGGTATTTTTTTTCTTTTTTAAAAAATTCTCACCTGAGGACATTTTTACATTTTACCTTCAGATAGAGCAGGAAAGAGAGAGGAAGAGAGAGAGAAACATCGACGTAAGAGAGACACATCGAGTGGCTGCCACCCACACAACCCCAACCAGGGTTGGGGACAAACTGCAACAGAAGTATGTGCCCTTAGCGGGAACCAAACCCGGGACTCTCTGATCTGCAGGCCTATGTTCTAACCGCCAGGGCTGGTACTTTAAATATAACTTTATGCACATAAAATGTCAAGCATATAATAGATAATCGAAAGTAACTATTGTTGTTATTATTACATATAATTAAGTCTGGTGGTCCTAAAAATTAACTTCACACTGGGCAGTCAAACTAACTACACAAGTGATATTATGCAGCAAGTCGACAAGAAGCAAGACTACTCTCGAGCGAGCCGTCAGGACAGAAGATTGTCCAGAAAACTTCATTACCTGAACTAAAATACCAAGGGCTTGAAGCCATCTCACAGAGCTCTCCCGGAGTAGAGAGACTTCTTAACCCACGGCAGAAAGCAGCCGAGCTCAGTGGGAGAAGGGAGGTAGGACACAGGGAAAGAAAACCCTACAAGAAGCCCCTTCTCTGGCGCCAGGGGAGAACAAAGAGAGACATCGAGAGGACAAGGTGACTTAGAGAAGTGAAGGTGATATGGAGGATAACACTATCTTACCTGTTAACATCTCAGCTGTTCCCGAATTTCCTATTACAGATGAAGAAAGAGGTGGCCTTGGGTGATGCTCTTATACCACCATGGGGCTCGGACAGCTCGGACACACTTCTTGATGTTCTGTGAGATAGGAGAGAGGGAATCTTAGACTTAATTTTCCCAGGTTGCTTTCCAGACTTAAAAGACAACAAACCTCAGAGGGATGGAGGGTGGGAGGGGTGGGAAGAGATAAACCAACGAACTTATATGCGTATATGCACAATCAATTGACATGGACATTAAAGGTTGGGGAAGGCAGGAAGGGAGTGGGAATGGGAAGGAGGGGGTCAATGGAGAAAAAGGGGGACATCTATAATGCTTTCAACAACAGAAAAATCGATTTAAAGAAAAAAGGCATGGATGAGCATTGAGAGTAGAGGGCTTGCCATGGGCCTCCTGGAAGGGTCACGATGATCCCTGGCAGAAGCTGGGCGTTGAGAGTCAGAGGACAAGGGAGAGCCTCTGGGGCAGCAGCCAACAGGAATCAAGTCCGCCACGAGAATGCCGTCAGAATCTGGCCAAGGCGAAGGCACCAGCGTGAGTAACATCGCTTCCAGACACGTTGGGACCAGATGCTAGCCACGCCTGCTCCACAGCTAGTCCACCGCTCCTGGGCTGGGACATCTGTTGCTTGAATCCATATTTCTTTGTTTTCATCCTCATTATTTTCTGAAGCATAGTTGTTTACTGAAGAGGATTGCGTAGAAGGAAAGGTTTTAAGAACTTGGGCTCCTGAAAATGTCTTTATTATACACTTTTTCATCAGTTAACAGTTTTAGTTTATTTCGTTTATTTAGTTAAAATGATGACTGGACACTCTATGTACAGGGGTGAGATGTGCTGATTGTGGGGTTATGTGTGCTGTGTAGTGATTGGATGGGGACACAGAAGCTATTTTAGGACCCCCAAATTTTATAATATATAGGATTTTCCTCTTAGACTGGTCTATTTCCCTAGAAAGTACTGCTTCCATCTCTTTCTAAGGAATGTGTTTGACGGATGGCATAGGTTCGGTTGTCGGTACTCTGGAAGCTGAATATGGGGAGAGGATTAGGGTCTCGTGGTTCACTCTGTAAACTTCCAGTTAATCATCAAGTCTTCAGCATATGTCTCTAAATCTGGTGCAGTCTAATTCCATCTCTCCAGAGAACAAACTTCTTTTATACCACCAGGATACAAGAAGGTAGACACCAGCTAAAGGTAAGGGTGGAATCAGGATTCCTAACTGCTTCTTATTCTTTCTACCTCCCTGCATACCTAATGCTTCTGGTCTCTGAATATACAGGGTTCTATGACCCACAGGTGTCTGTTTTTTCTACTTTGCTTTGCTTAAACCAATTCATCCACCAGCTTCCCTTCTTCAAAAAATGTGTTAACATCTTTTTTTTTTTTTTTAATCCTCACCCGAGGACATTTTTGCATTTTTTGTTCAGACAGAGCGGGAGGGAGAGAGAGGAAGAAAGAGAGAGAAACATCGATGTGAAGGGACACATTGAGTGGCTGCCACCCGCACGACCAACCAGGGCCGGGGACAAACTGCAACCGAGGTACGTGCCCTTAGCGGGAACCGAACCCGGGTCTCTCTGTACCGCAGGCCGACGCTCTAACCGCTGAGCCAAACCGGCCAGGGCTGTTAACATCTTTTATGTGCTGTCACCTCTAATTCTTTTTGCCCCTTCCAATTTATACACTGTTGTTCATGTACAATAGTTTTGGAAGGGTGGAGGGCAAACATGAATTCACCTACAATATTTAACTAGAAATTTCCTTCTCTTTTTCTCAAACACACTAGAAGTTTGCTCACAGCAAATGGTCTTGAGCTAAAATTTCAGTATAGATCAAAGAGTAAACTTGAAAGACTAACATGACAGAAAAGGGTTAGTACTTAAGAAGTATTCCAGATAACCTGGAAGTCAAACTAAGAATAAGGCGTCATTGGAAGATTAATTATTAGTAAACGATACTACACTGATTAATGTGGGAGAGGAAAGACTTTGAAGTCAAGTAGACCTGGATTCAGTTTGGGGTCCACCACTTATTAGCTGTGTGACCTAGAAAAAGTTGCCTTGGTTTCCCCCTTTGTAGAGTGAAGACCACAAAAGCCTTCTCAATAAGGTTTTGGTGAGAACTAAGTTAAATAATAATCTAATACCACACACAATCATGGCACTCTGTGGTTGCTATGATAATGAATTGGCTACCCATCATAATATTTTGTAGTCCTGAAAAGTTCTACACTTTATAGTACCCTTATTATTGTTTTTATATAGGTTGTATACAGTACATGTAGTACACATGTTCTATAAAGTATGAGTGTGCTATATAGTGTAGTGAGCAATTTGAAGAGGTACTGGAAGAGGAGGGATACGGCAAGAAACCTAAAGCAGGATTAGAACCTAATCCCTATTCTACTCTTCCTGCCTTCCACATCGTAAAGTCATTTCATTGTGCCGGTTGCTCAAAGTTATCCACGAGGCTCTCCTATGGATGTTAAAATTTGGTCTGTGCCCGGAGATACAAAAAAGTAAAATTTGTAGCTCCAGTAAACTTCTGAGTGTCACAAGGGTTGAGATTATGAATTAACAATTTACCTGGTTTCTTCCACTGACTTCATTGTCTCCTTCTCTTTGGTCTTCTTTGGGCTTTTAGCATAAGTCTATCTTCAGAACTGCAGGTAAACTTCCACTAGAGTCCTTGGCCAGGAATAAAAATATAAAAGTTAAACCACTTTCAACCATTTCTAAGACACTCAAATTCTCTTTGACCCAGCCTCTATATTTCTTCCCCTCCCCCTCTAGATACCATCATGGAGTATTTAAAGTACTTCTCTTACTCGGAGCCTTTTTTTTCCCATTCTAGGTTGAACATGGTGACATACAAGATCAGAATGTCAGAATACTTTTCAAATAATTTATTCAGATTTTTTTTTTTTTTAGTGGGAGGAAAAGAGAAGAGCTCTGTACATGAGTGAAACTCTACCTAAATAATTTTGCATGCAAATCCAAATACATTTTATTTGGACAACTTTCAATGATTTCATTCATCCGTACTTATTCTTTTGATGCCTTCAATTAATATCCAGATTCGTAGTCTGAAAATTCCTTCTGGGCATGGAGACACATTCATTTGTCTTTTAGAAGACTGGGGAATAGATTTTTCATCTCATTATTTCATAATATACTTTATCTTCCCAGTTATTTGTAAGAAGAAAATAATTGAAAGGCGGTTACAAATAAGGGAGCATTTAAAGACTTCAAGGAAAAGGGTTAGGTTTGAGGCTGAATTTACTAACTTATTATTTATTTATTTATTTATTTTTAGATAGAGTGGAAAAGGGGGTGGGGGGAGTGTGCAAGAGACACATCAGTGTGAGAGAGATACATAGGTGGTTGCCTCCTGCTCAACCCCCAGTGGGGCCAAGGATCGAAACTGCAACCCAGATACTCGCCCTTGATTAGGAATCAAACCCATGACCCTTCCATCAGCCGGCTGATGCTCTAACTGGTGAGCCAAACAGGCCAGGGCTGAATTGACTATCTTCTTAACCCCTGAAATAGATTGAATGGCCTGAAATAGATTGAGCACTAAGTTATAATTTTTAAAATTTCATACGTAGAAATTAAGCTGCTGTCGTGTAGATTTTGGGGCCCAATTTAATCACATTAGTTCTTCGGAATAAAAACCCTTTTCTGGCTGTGATGGGGGAGAGACGCAGCGGCGGAGGGTAAGGAAGCAGCGAAGGGCTTGACCACAGGGCTGGTTTCAGAGAGGGAGGGAGGAGCACACGCCGAAGGATGTGGGTGGCCTCTGAAACTTAGAAAAGGCAAAGAAATAAACTCATGTGCAGAAACTCCAGAAAGAAACACAGCCCTGTCAACACCTTGATTTTAGCCCAGTAAGTTATGCGTCTGGCTTCTGATACACACAACTTTAAGAGAATACATTTCTGTTGTTTTATGTCATTAAGTTGTTGGTAACGTGTTAGGGCAGCAATAGAAAACTAACACACATACTTTAATAAACTGTATGGTTGATGTATTTCTTTACTGTTCCAATCGTGTTCAAACAGAAGTTACCTTGATGAAAATATTTTCCATAATAGAAATGGTAATTAAATTTTTTCAGTATTTCATATGACAACTAGTAATCAATAACTTTGTATACAAAGTCTTTACTCACAAGAAGGCAAACAACTATGTTGATGAAAAGTAATTTCTAAAATTCAAAAGAAACTTCTAGTTATAAGATATATAAGTTCTTTCAATTAAAAAAATAGGCAGAGGACCTAAATAGACATTCTACAGACAGGACATACAAATGGCCAAGAGACATGAAAAAATGCTCAACGTCACTAATCATCAGAAAGATGCAAATTAAAACAACAATGAGGTATCACCTCCCACCTGTCAGAATGGCCGCCATCAACAAATCATCAAACAACAAGTGCTGGCGGAATGCAGACTGGTGCAGCCACTATGGAAAACAATATGGTGTTAAAAATAATCTCTACTACAGCCCTGGCCGGTTTGGCTCAGCGGTTAGAGCGTCGGCCTGCAGTCCGGAGAGACCCGGGTTCGGTTCCCGCTAAGGGCATGTACCTCGGTTGCAGTTTGTCCCCGGCCCTGGTTGGCCGTGCGGGTGGCAGCCACTCGATGTGTCCCTTTCACGTGGATGTTTCTCTCTCTCTCTCTTCCTCTCTCTCCCTCCCGCTCTATCTGAACAAAAAATGGAAAAATGTCCTCAGGTGAGGATGAAAAAATAATTAAAAAAAAAAAAAAATCTCTACTAAAAGCCACCAACGAAAGGAGAAAGGCTATTATATCTAATGAAGACTTATGACACACGTTGACATCACAAGTCCAGAATGAATTGTAAAGCACTGGCCTACTGCTGCATTAAATTACTATTATAATTTTTACAGTTTAATGTATCTTAATAGCCAACTTGCAGGAACAGCACAGAAGACAGACAAAAGGAAAAATGTACTTTCTGCATGTAGGACAACTCAGAAAGTATAGTGAACGGACGGAATCCACTGCATGATAAAAATGCTACATATACCATTTAGTTGCTATCAATAAGAAATGTACATGTTTTTTTAAAAAAATCCAAATGGTGGCACCATCCAGAAAAAAATGGACAAGTTTGTTGACACCGTCATGAAGTTGAACTGCTGAAACCTGCTCACTGGAACACTTTGGCATTAATGCTTTATGTTCCCACATTTATTTATTTTTTCCCCTTTATTGGTTTTAGACGGGTAGGAAATGAGAGGGAGAGAGAGATAGAAACATCCATGAGAGAACATCAACTGGCTGCCTCCTGCACGCCCCACACTGGAGATCAGGCCCATAACCTGGCCATGTGCCCTGACTGGGAATTGAACTGGCGACCTCTTGGTGCCTGGGTCGATGCTCAACGACTGAACCACACTGGTCGATATGTCCCCACATTTATTTTAAAATATTCACACACAAATGAAAATGGAAAAATCACCAATACCTGATTTCTGTCCCTTATTTTCCACTTGCAATCATATACTTAGGTACCTGTTGACCCCATGAGGGGAAAACATCTAATGTTCAGAACTGATGATAACAGGAAGACTGAATTTTTTTTTTTTTTTTTTTAGGATGAAATGTTTCCCATCATAGTGGATTCTAAAGCACGTTCTCCACGGATGCGTCGCGCTAGCTGGTTGTGTTTTGGCGTAACTGTTACCGTTTGGCATGGAGAGCACACAGGTTTATGTCTTCAAACAGGCCAGCCAGAAGGGAAGGTTGTGAATGGGAAGTTCCCTGTACTTCTGATAATGTCTGATTTCACCAAGTGCTACAAGGACCAGGCCTGTCACGGTGAGGTTTCTTTACTCATCCAGTAGAGGGCGCACTCTTGCACGCAGCTTTGGTACCCAGTTGCTTTCCTGAGGCTTTACCACGGGTGGACTTGCTGGCAGTCTGCTTTGTAGGGGCCAGGGTTCAGAGACCTCTACACCCCGCACCCTGCTTAGTCTGAGCTCAGGAAGCTATATGTTGCCCCGGTGTTAGAGCGATGGCTGTAAGCACCTCTTTTATTTTTTTGAATAGTGTGAATGAGGCCACTCAGGCCATGAGGTGGATGATTTCAGGCATAAGGCCTCAAAGTACATCACTGGGATTTTGTGAAAATTAAAGATTTAACCTTTGCAAGGTGTTTACCATGATTTAGGATGCATTGTAGGACCTCAAGAAATGATTACTAGTATTTCTGTCATTATAAACTTCCATTGGTCTTAGGCTAAGGGGAAGGAAGTGAGCACAGGTACGAATGTGAAGCAGAGTACACCTTCTGTCTTTCACTGAGGTGGGCTACTTCTCAAAAGAAACATATAATTAATTTATCTCCCTGAAATGTTGTCACAATTTACTAATTAATACTATAAAGTGTTTTGTAACTATCACGTGAAATAAAAATGCTAAATACTGTGTAAAACCAAAACCAAAACCAAAAAGATATATAAGTTCTTGCCCTGGCCAGTTTTGCTCAGCGGTTAGAGCATTGGCCTGCTGACCAAAGAGTCGCGGGTTCAATTCTGGTCAAGGGCATGTACCTCAGTTGCTGTTTGGTTCCTGGCCCTGGTCCGGGGGAGGCAATCAATCAATGTGTCTCTTTCACATCTCTCTCTCTCTCTCTCTCTCTCTCTCTCTCTCTCTCTCTCCCCCCCCCCCTACTCTGTCGAAAAATAGATGGAAAAACATCCTCAGGTGAGGAGTAAAAAAAAGATATATAAATTCTGAGGATGTAACGTACAGCATGGTGACTATAGTTAACAACATTGTGCTGTATATTTGAAAGTTGCTAAAAGAGTAGATCTTGAAAGTTCTTATTACAAAAAAATTGCAGCTATGCAAAGTGATGGATGTTAACTAAACTTATTGTGGCAATTATTTTGCAATATGTACATATATCAAATTATTATGTTGTATACCTTAAACTAATACAATATCATATGACAATTATATTTCAATAAAACTAGAAAAAATATTAAAAATCTAAAATAAAGTGCTTTCATAATACCAAAGACTTAAACTTATATAATGCTTTGTTGATGTTAATCCTCACCCAAAGATACTTTTCCATTGACCAGGGCCAGGGATCGAACCTGCAACCCAGGTCCATGCCCTTGACCAGGAATCAAACCAGCAACTCTTTAGTCCATGGGCTGATATTCTAACCACTGAGACAAACCAGCCAGGGCAACTTAATAATTTTAAAAGTGATACTCAATATCTCTTGTCACAAACAAGCCACCAAATCAATTTCTTCTTCTAGGTCTCAATGACTATACTACTCATAGCGAAGTCCCAAGTGATGAAACATTCTTAGCAAGGCTTTAGGAAAGTGATTTCATTAAAGCTGTTTGCAACATGTACTGAACATACTTCAATCCCAGGACTCTTGTGGGTGAAGAAAACCAAATATCAAGATTCACAAACAGATGTTGAAAAAAAATGGATCAACATTTGGAAATTTGTATCATGGGAAGAGGCAGTGGAGTCAAAACAAAGGAATAAAATATTAATCTTCTGGGAATGTTTGCTTCCTGGAAACTAAAGGCAACTTTCCTAAAGTAAGAAATGTGAACTAAAACAAAAAACCCTGCCTGGCCAGTGTGGCTTAGAGGTTGAGTGTCATCCATGCACCAAGAGGTCACTGGTTCAATTGCCAGTCAGGTCACATGCCTGGGTTTCAGGCTCAATCCCCAGTGTGGGGCATGCAAGAGGCGGCCAATTGATGTTTCTCTCTCATAGATGTTTCTTTCTCTCTCCCCCTCTCCCTTCCTCTCCACCTAAAAAATTCAATAAAAATATATAAAAACAAAAGACCCAACATCCTCAAAATGAAACCCTGATAACATAGAATAAACTGGATATTTTCTATAATATGATCATTGTTAACATACCTGATTACAACTTCAGAATAAAGCACCAAGCATTTTTGGATCTCCACTGTGTAGAGCATTCTGTTAGGGATTGTGAGATGATTCAGAAAATCTAGTCTCTGACATTAAGAAGTTTATTCTCCGAGGAGTCAAGATAAGCACAAGTGAAGTGATGCAGAATTACCACATGACAATTATCAAGAAGTGCACAATTTTAAATGACGCTGAAGACTGATAGGAGTAAAATGTGATTAGTCAGGGAAGACAAGACATGGGCAGCCATACCCAGAAATCAGTTGAGTTACCAGATGCATAATGCCAAAGAAGATGTGCTGAGGAAGTCACTTTTAGAGAAAAAATATGTCCCCTAACAGCCTTCCATGATGACTTAAAGTTTCACCATGAATCCAACCATTAACTCTTCATTTAACCAGAGTATATTTTCTGAACACCACACACCAAGGTGCACAGGTACCAGTATAAGTGTAAACTTACTTCATCCTTTTCTTCAGTTTTGGGCCACTTTAAACATGATTGATCTCTAGAGGACATAACATAGAAAGTCATAATGAGATGCTAACATGTCATTATGATCCACACCCTCTTTTCCAAGTTAACGGAAGAATTAAAATTGCCTTTTAGCTATGTTCCAACTATCCATTGTCTACACTTGTCTACCAGAGCAACTTTCTAAAATTATAATTCTCATCATTTTCTCATATTTACAATTCGCAAATCAAAATTTACCTGTGCAGTGGCCTAGTTGTTTAGGTCCTGAAAAGAATAGCTCAGGTTAAACTATGAAAAACTGAGGCAGAGATGGCAGGCATTCAGGAAATGCTAGAGCTTGACCACTCGTAGGAATTCTACAGGTCCTGGTAAAAGACCCAAATGAGAGATAGTAGGTGATGACACAATGGAGAATGAATGAATGTGTATATTTTAAAAGGTATTGCTTTCTGGAAATAAAGATAAGACTTTAGTATTTGTTATGAGCATGGCTGGTTTATAGATAATTATTGAAAGTTTGAAACTTAAGGTAAATATTTGGCAATCAATCCTTACAAAGTTGGTAAATCATACCATGAGGATGGAGGAGTTTCTGAAAAAAATAAATAAATAAATGTTAAAGGAGAGGAACAAAGAACAAGGGATTAATTCTTGGAAGTTCCTAAAGGGTGGTAAAAAAAAAAAAAAAAAATTAGAGAAAGAGTATTAAAGGGTGCCAGAGGAGCAAGAGATAAACAACAGGTTACTTACAAAGGAACTCCCATAAGGCTCTCAGCTGACTTCTCAACAGAAACACTACAGGCCAGAAGGGAATGGCATGAAGTAATCAAGGTCATGAAAAATAAGGATCTGAATCCAAGACTACTCTACCCAGCAAGGCTATCATTTAAAATAGAAGGTCAAATAAAGAGCTTCCCAGATAAAAAAAAAAAAAAAGGCTGAGCGAATATATTAGCACCAAACCAGCACTGCAAGAAATGTTAGAAGGACTGTTGTAATTAATAGAAGACACAGGAAGAAAAATGTAACCACAATAAACAAAAATGGCAATGAATAAGTACATATCAATAATAACCTTAAATGTAAATGAATTAAATGCTCTGATCAAAAGGCAGAGCGGCTGATCAAATAAAAAGCATGACTCATATATATGTTGTTTATAAGAGACCCACCTCACAACAAAAGACTTACATGGGTTGAAAGTGAAGGGATGAAAAAAATTTTCCAAGCAAACGGAAAGCAAAAAAAAGCTGGGGTAGCAATACTCATATAAGATAAAATAAACTTCAAAATGAAGGCCATAACTAGAGACAAAGAAGGCCACTACATATTATTGAAAGGATCTATCCAACAGGAAGATAACCTTGGTAAACACATATGCATCCAATATAGGAGCACTAAAATACATTTAAAAACTTCTGGAGGACTTCAAAGGGGAAATCAACAGCAAAACATAGCAGGGGACTTCAACACCCCGTTGACAGCACTGGATAGATTCTCTAGACAAAAAATTAGCAAGAAAACAGAGACTCTAAATGAAACACTAGACCAAATGGATTTAATAGATATCTACAGAGAATTGCACCCCAAAACTTCAGAATTCACATTCTTTTCAAGTGCACATGGGACCTTCTCAAAGATAGACCACATTAGGACACAAAGCAAGTCTCTATGAGTTCAAGAAGATTGGAATCATATCAAGCATCTTCTCAGATCACAATGGCATGAAACTAGAAATCAATTGCAACAAGAACATGCAAAGACATTTCAACACATGGAGGCTAGATAGCATGTTATTAAACAACAAATAGGTTACCAAGGTGATCAAGAAAAAAATTAAAAACTTCCTGGAAACCAATGAAAATGAACACACAACAACACAAAATCTATGGGATGCAGTGAAAGCAGTTCTGAGAGGGAAGTTTATAGCACTACAGGCCTTCCTCAAGAAATGGGACAAATTTCTAGTAGACTCTCTAACCCTACAACTTAAAGAACTAGAAAGTAAACAAAAAGAAAAACCAAGAGCAAGTCGAAGGAAAGAAATAGTAAAGATCAGAGCAGAAATAAACAACATAGAGACTAAAAACAACAACAACAGCGCTGGCCGGTTTGGCTCAGCGGTTAGAGCGTTGGCCTGCGATACTGAGAGACCCGGGTTCGGTTCCCCCTAAGGGCGCGTACCTCGGTTGCAGTTTGTCCCCGGCCCTGGTCGGTCGTGCGGGTGGCAGCCACTCGATGTGTTCCTTTCACATCGATGTTTCTCTCTCTCTCTGTTCCTCTCTCTCCCTCCCACTCTATCTGAACAAAAAATGGAAAAATGTCCTCGGGTGAGGATAAAAAAAAAAAAAAACCAACAACAATTAAAAAGATCAATGAAACAAAGAGCTGGTTCTTTGAAAAAATAAACAAGATCTATGGACCCTTAGTCAGACTCACCGAGACACAAAGAGAAAGAACCCAAATAAACAAAATCAGAAACAAAAGAGGAAAAGTAACAACTGACAAGACAGAAATACAAAAAATTGCTAAAACATACTATGAACAATTATACACCAACAAATGGACAATCTGGGAGAAATGGACATATTTCTAGAAACACACAGCCTCCCAAAACTGAACCAGGAAGAGATAGGAAACTTGAACAGATCAATAACAACTAAGGAAATTGAAGATGAAATCAAGAAACTCGCGGCAAACAAAAGCCCAAGCCCAGATTGCTTCATGGGGGAGTTTTACTGAACATTCAAAGAAGAACTAACACCAGTTCTCCTCAAACTGCTCCAAAAAATTCAAGATGAAGGAAGACTTCCAAATTAGTTTTATGAAGCCAGCATAATTCTAATTCCAAAACCAGATAAAGACACTATAAAGAAAGAAAACTACAGGCCAATATCCCTGATGAACATAGATGCTAAAATCCTTAATAAAATATTAGCAAATCAGATCCAATACATCAAAAAAATTATTCACCATGACCAAGTGGGATTCATCCCAGGGATGCAAGGCTGGCACAATATTCACAAATCAATAAATGTGATACACCACATAAACAAAATGAAAGATAACTATATGATCATATCAATAGACGCTGAAAAAGCATTCTATAAAATCCAGCAACCATTTTTGATAAAAATGCTCAGCAATGTGGGAATAGAGGGATCATATCTCGACATAATAAAGGCCATATATGAAAAACCTACAGCCAACATCATACTCAATGGGCAAAAACTAAAAGCATTTCCCTTAAGAACAGGAACAAGACAGGGATGCCCACTTTCATCACTCTTATTTAACATAGTACTGGAAGTCTTAGCCATGGCAATCAGACATGAAGAAAAAATAAAAGGGATCCAAATTGGAAAGGAGGAAATGAAACTGTCATTATTTGCAGATGACATGATATTATACATAGAAAACCCTAAAGACTCCATCAAAAATCTAAATCTACTACATTTAATAAAACAATTTGCCAAAGTAGCAGGATACAAAATCAACATCAAGAAATTGATGGCATTCTCACACACTAATAATAAACTTACAGAAAGAGAAACTAAAAAAAAAAAAAAAAAATCCCATTTACTATCACAGCAAAAAAAATTAAGATACCTAGGAATAAACTTAACCAAAGAAGTAAAGGACCTATTTGCAGAGAACTAGAGGAAATTGAAAAAAGAAATTGAGGAAGACATAAAAAAGTGGAAGCATATACCTTGTTCATAGATTAGAAGAATTAACATCATTAAAATGTCCTTATTACCCAAAGAAATCTACAGATTCAATGAAATGCCCATTAAAATACCAACATCATATTTCAGAGAACTAGAGCAAGTATTCCAAAAGTTTATATCGAACCAAAAAAGACCCCAAATAGCCACAGCATTCTTGAAAAAAGAAAACAAAAACAAAAACAAAAAACAAAGTTGGAGGGATCACAATACTGGATATCAGGTTATATTACAAAACCATTGTAATCAAAACAGCCCGGTATTGGCACAAGAACAGGCATATAGATCTAAAGAACAGAACAGAGAACCCAGATATGGACCCAAGACATTGTGCTCAATAATATTTGACAGGTGGCAAAAGCATGCGATGGAGTAAAGACAGCCTCTTCAATAAATGGTGTTGGGAAAATTGGACAGCTAAGTGCAAAAAATTAAAGCTAGACCATCAACTTACACTATACACAGGAATAAACTCAAAATGGATAAAAGACTTAAATGGGATTCCTGAATCCATAAAAATCCTAGAAGAAAATGTAGGCAACAAAATTTCAGACATCACACACAGCAGAATTTTCACTGATACAATGCCTAAGGCAAGAGAAACAAAGCAAAACATTAATAAATGGGACTACATCAAACTAAAAACTTCTGCACATCAAAAGAAACAAGTATCAAAATGGGAAAAGAACCCACTATAAGGGAGTGCATCAGATAAGTGGTTAATTTCCAAAATACATAGAGTAATCATATAACTCAACAAAAGAAGACAAAATCCAATTAAAATGGGCAGATATCTCTCCAAACAGGACATACAAATGGCCAAGAGACATATGAAGAAATGCTCAATGTCACTAATCATCAGAGAGATGCAAATTAAAACAACTATGAGGTATCACCTCACACCTGCCAGAATGGCTGCCATCAACAAATCATCAAACAATAAGTGCTGGTGAGGGTGTGGACAAAAGGGGACTCTAGCACACTGCTAGTGGGAATGCAGACTGGTGCAGCACTGTGGCAAACAATAAGTTGTTTCCTCAAGAAATTAAAAACTGAACTGCCATTTGACCCAGTGATCCCATTTCTAGGAATATTGCCAAAGAAGCCTGAAACACCAATCAGAAAGAGTATATGTACCCCCATGTTCATAGCAGCACTAGTTACGATTGCTAAGATCTGGAAACAGCCCAAGTATCCATCAATAGATGAGTGGTCAAAAAGCTGTGCTACATATACACAATGGAGTACTATGCAGCTGTAAGAAAGAAAGATCTCTTATCCTTTGAGACGACATGAAGTATTATCCTAA